ATAACAAAATATTAGAATGTCCTTTAACTTTAATTAATTTATTAAATATAAATCAAATTAATTTTTTATTTGGACATACTGAAGAAATTCTATGTTTGGAAAGTTTATTTTTTAAAAATCAATTTTATTATGTAACTGGTTCTTATGATGGAACTATTATTAAATGGTTAATGAATAGAAATGATAATTACATGTCTTGTTTAGATAAACAAATTATTATGGATAGAAATACAAATGTTGTTTTAGATTTAAATTTTTTATTTTTTAATAATTTTAATTTAATTAATTTAAATAATATAAATGGAAATATAAATGGTAATAATAATATAAATGAAGAAATGGATGAAGAATTAATTTACATGATTGCATCTTGTGATACTTCAATTAAAATTTATAATTTTGGAAATAATCAATTATTAAAAATATTTAATACTGAATATGAAACTTATTTAAGTAGTTTACAAATTATATTAAAAAATAATGATATTACAAATAATATATTAAATTGTTATTTAATTACTAAAGGTGTAAATTCAAATGAAGAAATTTCATCTAATAATGATATCCATTTAAGGAAATTAAATTTAAATTTAAAGAAAATTCAAGATTCAACATTGGAAACATTACATACATTTCAACATGATGATTATTATTGTAATTCATGGATGGCTAAATGTAAATATTTTAATGGTTATTTATTTGCACCTACCTGTTATGGTAAATTATTTATTTGGAATGTACATACTAAACAATTATGTGCCATTTTAAATGATCATTCAGAACATGCCTATATTAGAAATACACTTGTTATTAATCAATTTGATAATATGAATAATACTAATAATAATTGTAATGGATTTTATTTATTTACAAGTGGAGATGATAGTATTACTAATATTTATGAAACAACGTCAATTAATAATAATAACTTATCAACCCAAAGATTGGATCAAGTTTATAAAGTTTATAATAATAACACGACCCTTACATCTTCAAGAAAGAAATAAAGCCTTTCTTTTTTTAACATCATTGAAGCATTCTATGATATAC